AACCGTGCTATCGCCGATCAGTATCAGCCGAAACTGGTAATCGAAAATAGGCTCTACCATCTTGGCGGTGCTGGTACCAAATAAATAAACGTCTCCTTCACGCACGTCGATAATCCGCCGCGCGCGCGGAATCAGCAGCGAATCGCGTCGTCCCTCAGCAAACCTCGCACATCCCTCGCCACGGTGTGCCTTGTCGTGAGCGCGCACAGAGTAGCATGGAGTAGCACACAGCTGATCGTGATATCAATCATCGGAACTCGTAGCATCCGACGTGAGCGACTAGGCGACCACCGTGCGCGCTGCTGATATCCGAGTAATCCGAGCCGGAGCCACCTCAACTTCGTCTCTGTTCGTCTCGCAAGACTAGCTACTTTATTACTCACTCTACTCGACCGCGCGCGTGCTTTGCTACTGCGCACAAATCTCCGTCGGTGCGGCGCCGCGGCGCCGAGACGGCGAACACGCGTGACACGATTGCGACGATACATTCGTTCAAAAGTCCATTCGCGCCTGTTTACACTTTGTTGACTCTCCTCCCGCTGCCCCTCTTTATTCTATTGAAGTCTGTATATGCGAGTATCGCGAGTTCCAAGGGAAAGTGCAGGAAAGTGTAGTTGATTCCTGTTATCGCGTGTACGGCGCGTTTGAAAAAAAGGTTGTTCTCGCATTATTCATCTCTTTTCTCTTTTTTTCTTCACGTTGAAAAGAAAGCCAAACTATTTTTTATTTTTTCCACTTCTTTCATCGAATTTTTAATTATTATTGAGGTCATAACGTTACGATTTAAAAAATCTATAAGAAGTATTTTATTACTTAGTAAATGAAGGTAAAAGAAGAAGAAAAAGATTAAAAAGATAGGAAATAAAAAAAAATTAAAAAATATAAAAAAATAATAAAAATAACAAAGATAAAGAAAGAGAGAATGAAAATAAAAAGATTAAGAAAAGAAGAATACAAACACTGTATTAAAGAATACGTTATCCATATTCTTCTTTTCTTCATTTTCGTTATCATTATTTTCTTCTTCAGCCTTTTCTTTATCTTCTATTTTTATTTTTTCTTTTTTCCCATCTTTCTTAAATTTTTCCGTTTTCTTCATCTATTTATTTCTCTTCTTCTTCAAAAACTTGTTAAATATAATATTCTTTAGCAACCCGGTAAAACATTTAAGATTATCCAAAATTCAAGATTTAAAATGCAACGGAATTAAAACAAAAATTGTTCTTAGCAATAATTTAATCATTCGAAGAAAACTTTTTCTTTGTTAAATTTCTCATAAGTCCGAAATTAAATGGCTGATGTTTTGAATTTCACAAATAGGTTTGATTTTGAGCTTTCATTTAATAATGTAAATCTAATTTTAGTTTTTGTTTTCTATTTGATTTACGTCATCGTTTGTGATGACTCAAGTCGACCCTGACTAATTTTACTGCGGAGTGTGGCAGTGGATTGAAAGATAAATGGGAGGGGAGATATAAATCTAAGAGAAAACTAAATCTGAGTATTGTGTTATGTCACTATTGCCATCATTATTGGCCTCTGCTTTTATTAATTGCCGATAAATTAATAAACGATCTTCTATTTGTTACAGAAAATTTTATTTATTAAATTATATGTATACGAATATGATTTAATTCAATGAAAACAAATATTATCTCTGTTTCGAGATTTATAGAATATATATTATATTTAGAGAATACAATGAAAATAAGTTGATTTCCCTTTATTTATATTTTATTTACTTTATTTATATTTTACTTTATTATTTACATGATCAAATTATACTTTAACACAAATAATTTATGCAAATATAAATTAATTTTAAGTTACTTAGGATATATCGTGTGCCTCAATTTCTATGTATGGTAAACGCTTTCTGTTTATTGCATTGGAGTTATCGACTTGAGCTAACTCGAACGAGTCTCGCTAAAATGGAAAGCATCCATCAACATGTTGCACACTACGTATTTATCTTTAGCGTTAGAATATGAGTGATGTTTTTCTACTTTTACATTACTAAACAACTGTAAAATTATAAACAAACGGCGATACTATTGAAAAAATGATTAAAACGTCGAATAAAAAGATTTTAATGAGAGAATTCGTAACGAGAAGATTTTTAGAGCGTTAATTTTCTTTTTTCTCTCAAAGTTCGAACGTTTCATTTAAAATGCAGGAAAGTGTAAGAAAGCGTAGCTAAAACAGATTTACTTTATCTCTCGAACTTTCCCTGCTCGCTTTCCCTCTTCTTTTTGCTTGCGTCCACGCGATTTATGTATATATTAAGCGTGTTTTTCAGCTGCGCTTTTTGCATTCCTTTGTGATTTTTCTTTTTTTTTCTTTTACGTCATTCCAGTTTATGCAGCACATCGATTTTATTTCGAACGCAGAAGGTATAACACTGCATAGCTAAAAACGTATTGTTGTTGGTTTATTGACAATCTAGGATGCATTCCGACATGTATAACTGATAAGTGCGTAACGTGAAGTGAAGACTTTCATTGTTGTTAATATTCTCTATTTCAAAATGCATTCCTAAATTATTAGTAAGATGAACCGACATATCATTCAATAAAGATGTAAAAATTAAAATTTTGATATTGTTTATAGAAAAAGAAAATAAAAAAGAAATATGAAAAAAAATATATGAAAACATAAAGAAAAGACATAAAGAAAAAAGAAAAATATACTTTAAAACAACATATTTTCATTCCAATTATTAGGTGTTGGAATTAATTCGTAGTGTTTTACAAGTGATGGGAAGTACTTTCATTAATGTATTTTTTAATGCTCATGTGAAATAAATAACATTCTTTCATTAAAAACGCTACGAATTAATTCCAACACCTAATAATTATTATAATAAATTACATTTTTTGAAGTTAATATTACAAATTTTTCAAAACACTCAAACTCATTTTTTAGAAAACTTTATATTTTATAACAAATGAGCGATGGAAGGAAGAGCAAATAAATATCTCAATATAATATATTATAGGACCTAATAACACAAATTATAGAAATCAAAGCCTTAAACGGTCTAGCTGAATCTTAAATGCTTATATGATTCTTGTGTGAATTTATATACTACGTATGTAGTCTCCAGAAACGCCGAAGTAATTTTTCTTGAAAACTGATAAATATCTCAGTTTGAATTTAAATATATATAAAATTAGTAAGATATAAATTACTTATGCGGATGTAAAATATTTCAGTCCAGAATATGTTATCTAATTTTTGATTCAAAGAAGTGTTTTCAGGTATCTAATTTTTATGATAATATTTAAATGATAATGTTATAAATAATTGCAACATAGAAGAATAAGATTTTATTTTATTTAATCAAGATTTTGTCAAGAGTTATTGGGGTGCATGTTTATATGTAATCGTGCTATGAATGTCATTCCGTATTTATATGCAATCGTGCTATGAATGTCATGTTCTACTTGACGCACCAGACGCTTTATATACAAGTTGGCTCGGTGCGACGTCTGTTAAACGCCTTGTAACGCAGTATTAATTTTTTAACGCGTCACACCATCAGAGGTGAGCTTTTATGAAGACAACTTATAACACGTCGTCGCCAGTGACACGAGGAAAAAACTTACGCCGTCAGTGACGCTGACCTCTGTCAGACTAGGTTTCTTCATAAGAATTTATTTTATAGATAAAAGAGAGACAAAATGCTATATCATAAACTAGTGTAAAACTTTGTACTTCTTTTTTTTTAAATTATTTTATTAAAGAAAACGTATATATAAAATTGTTTTACTTGATTTATAATATTTTTTTATTATAATTTAAATACAATAATATTTTGTAAAATCCTAATTTGACAAAGTTTATTGTAAACAAATAGTAGAAATACTTTTGATGAGACATTAGTATTGCTAATAAAAATTTAGACAGTCATTTGAGTAAAATATTTGTTAATTTCTATAAAACACAGTAGATCAGCTTGTTTTATATGCTGCGTTATTTTTATTTCACAATTGCAATTTCAAATTAATTTTTGTTTTATTATCGTTTTATTGTCGTCGCGTTATTATGCATATAATATTATAATTTTCTCATTATGATTCATCATATTTATATGTCCACTCAATTCAAAAATATCTATCGAATATCCAAATTTATTTTTACTTTTTAATTCTTTTACATTTTGTATAGATCCTTTTCTCGATAGTGATAGCGTCATTTAACATTTGACGGAGCTATTACTATCGGAGCATTTCAGTAATATTTTAAAGAAACGTTACAAATTTGATATTATTATATTATGATATTACGTAAATTACATCAATCGTATTTCATCATTAGCCAGCAAACCTTTTAGTATATACGATTATCATTTGTGTTCTGCATATACATATATATATATTTTTTTCAAAAACCTAGATGGATTAAGTAATTAGTAACATTTATAAACAATTTTTTAAAATATACAATACCTTATAAATACTTTCTAAAAAATGATATTAAAGTATATGTAAGAATCATTGATAATTTTTGTACATTTACAATTAAAGTGATGAAAATTAATCCAGAATACGAATGACCCATCATATATGTATAGCAAAGAACCGAAAAAATCATCGTGTACATTAAGTATTAAAAACTGCCAAAGAGAGAACGAATATGCGTGAAGTCTCAGGATTCTCTATAAAGATTGTGTTCCAAAATTTACTGCCAGTATACTGAAAATCTATAGAACACAAGACATAAACTATAGATTTTCAGTATTGGCAGTAAATTTTGAAGCACAGCCAAAGTCTCTGTCGACAGTATATCGACGTCATCGGCCGCGATACGACGAAAACTTCGTTTACGCGCCGTTGCCGGGTGAATTACGACGGCGCGGGAACGGTGAGACCGCGATTGGTCGGTCAGTGCGTAGGTCGGCGCGTCGGATTGGTTGCCGCGGCCATGTGTACATGATGACCGCGCGGTGTCCGGGGTGAAGTGAGCCGCGATGTGGCTGTGCCTGGCCGCGCCGAGCGCCGAGCCGAAGTGAGCGGCGCGACCATTCGTACGCAACACGCGACTGATGCGACGTCGGTTGCGCGGGCGGTACGCGTTGGTTTCTTCTCACGCGAGTGCAAAACGCTTGCCGCTCAAGAAACGATCGTTGCTCGCGATCAAACGCGCTTGCATTTTGTCAAAATGTGATCGGATGATTTTAACGCTTTTTTTCTTCTCAAAACACTTGCTCTCTCTTGGCCGGAGGTGAAGGGAAGGAGCACCGGCGAGTTTTGTACTTCACGAGGATTCATGCCGACGTTGAACATGACACTTCCGTAAGGAAATCTAAAGGTAATTCACAGTGTATTTTAAAAATATATGTTTGCGAAAGAATCATATCCTGGCAAGAAGGATAAAAAGAATTAATTATTATTTGATAGCTCACTTAATTCGCGGTATCGCCATTTTCTTTGATTCAAATCTATTTTCTCTCTTGATTTCAATTTTTTTACTTTTCTTAATTCTTGTGATCAAGGCTGTCAACTAGTCACCTATGTTTCATTTCACAATCATGCGTGGCATTTAGAATTTTTTATCGGCATCGTTAAACGGCGTTTGTACATTTTAGAAAGTCACGTTCGAAGGAGACGTTTGAAACTGTTCTCGATCGATTATTGATTTTAAATACAAGATAATTTAATTGTAGAAATAAATTCCTTCGGGGAAAGATTGAGAAGATCGCGATTGATTGAATGATTTTGTTGTATTACGGGACAACATCAACCTATAGAGGCTATATGGGAAATGTATTATTTAAAATAAAGAAACTATGGCTGTAGTCAAAGTGTCGCTACAAATGCTTTGAAGCATTTGATGGACCAATTAAAAGAAAGAATTTTACAAACTGACCAGTTAAAAAACGCTTCAAAGCGTTTGCAGCATCGCGTTGACCGTACCCTATATGTTGTACATATATGAGTATTTTCCATGTGGTGACACTATGAAATAAGTATTGTTTTGTCTTTGTTACTTTTGAAATGCCAAAAAAGCTAGAACTATGTTTGTGCTGATTTGTGTCACTAATGTCCATTATTCTACTAATTCCCGTTTCTATCAATGTAGATTAATTTTAATCTTGGTTCAACTTATTTTTCATCTTTTTCTAATTTTTAGAATTAAGAAAAAATGAAGAATTAGTTGAAATTAAAATTAAATTACATTGATAGAAATGAGCTTAATGTAGATTAATTTTAATCTTAGTTTAATTCATTTTTTATCCCTTTTTTTATTCTTATATCCTTTTTTTTACTATAGTTTATTTTTCGTTTTTTTATCTCGGTTTAATGACTCTTAGTCCTTTTTTAGTTCTAAAAATTAAAAACAGATGAAGAGTAAGTTAAGTCAAGATTGTATTAGAAAAAAATGAAGAGTATGTTAATCTACATTGGTAGAAACGGGCATGAACAAGTCAAAGCGTGAGTTTAAATCGTCGCGCGCGACGAAGCGCGCTGTTTCGAAATTTTTGCCGCGATAAATCCGTTACATTCTCTACATTTATAACAAAGTCGATTGCTTACACTATTCTACGGGCTAAGGCTATATATTAAAAGCAATTACATGCATGAATGAAGAGAGAGTCATTTAATAATATAATGCGTACAGTTTGATTATTAACATATTAAAACGTTATTAGTGGATTGTATGATTGGATATTTTATCAGTTAAAGTGTTCATATTGCGTTTTTCCATAATCTTTATAAACATTTTTATATGTTTTTAACAGTTTTTATAGTACTTTTTGTAATAATATTTATAATATTCTACTTTCTATATTTATTATTGAAAAAACAGTAATTATTTTTGTTTAGAGTATTAAAATTACTGAATAACAGTGCTTTTAATATTTAAAATAATTAATTAATAATTATTATCTTTCAGTATTAAATTGGTCAATAAATCTCACTCGACTTTGTTTTGAGCGCGTGAAGTTCAAAAAGTGCCTATATATGTAGTGAAAATATAGAACCGGACTCATTTTAACTTTGAATAACTTTGAAGTCGATATTAGCAATATGATTAAAGTGCCTTTCAGTATGCATAATCCAATGAATCGGTTTTTTAAAGTAGGTGTATAATATTATGCCATATCAGTTATCTATCCATCTATCAGTTAATTATTTTACTAAGAACTTGAGCAGGGGTAGATCTTGAGACGAGAGAGAAATTATAATTTTATACTTGTATATAAAGCCTATTACAAATGATCTAGAATTTTATCTACAATTTCACATGCGTCTGTAATACTTTTGAAAATTTCAAAAAATATTAGAAAATTTTTAAAGAATCAAAAGCAGCTTATGTAATAAAATGCATATAATATAATATAATTATATCGTTTATTTTTTTATGTGCAGATTAATTAAGATTATAGTATACATATGTATAATATATAAATTATAATTATATATGACATAATATTAATACAATATTAGATATAAAATATAACTTGTATTTAAAAAGGTAAAATTCCATTGTTATCAATTCTGGCGATTTAAGTTTTGTACTCTAACTAATATACTATTCATTAAGCAATTCTTCGCGATTGATTTTGTCTAGACTGTATCATTATTGCTTAATTTGTGGATTGATCTATAGTCTTAATTAACACTTCTATTGCGTCAAGTTTAACTTTTTTGATGTTGCTATAAAAGAAATAATAATTTTTAAGTATCGTATTTTTAATAATATATTTGCGAATTTAAAAAAAAAAAATATATTTTAGATTTCTCTGTGCGCTGTTTATATTGGAATAATTGGGGAAGTAATTATAATATTTATAAAAAAAAATATTACGGCATTTTTCAATAAACACAGAAACGAGGATCAAATTCCTGCAGCATAAACAATTTTAGATTTGCATGGTCGATTCGAGTGAATGGAACACAAAGAACAAACAACAAAACCAAAGCCAAAGAGAGTCAGTCAATATCTATGTGTGTATTCGGAACAATTTTTTCATTCACACGATATTCCCATAGGTTAGTTAACTGCGTATATTTCTCAAAGAAAAAATTGCTTAAAACTAGGTCGACTCTTTTTTAACGAAACTGAATAAATATGATATTTCTACAGGTCAATTGTTTTTGAGAAAAAAAAAATGCTGAAAACAATACTGTGAATTAAAAGAAAATATATACAGATAAATTTTCCCCCGGTAAACTGAATTATTATTGTTCTGTGCTATTCATTAACATCTCAGATTCATTTAAGATATCTTATATATGTGTTTCAATATGTGTGTTCTCTGGGGTACTTGAAGTATATGACTTGCAAATTAATCTATTCTTTTAATTTTATCTTACTTAATCGCACGAATCCGTCTTGCTTCTTTATTCATTAAGAAATGATAATTTTTTTACATGTAAAAAGCGTTAAATTACCACCGCTTCCTGGCGAAGCTTTTTGGCGAAGCCGTGTGCTCTGGGGAATTGTAACCACGGTCTCCACGGCCCATTGCATTGTCGCAATTCGAGAAGCGGCGCGTTTTTCTCGTTATAACATTAATCTCACCGTGCTTCCGGGAGATAGCCTGGATCGTGGCCGCGTCGCGAGTACGTTGCTCTACCGTGCTTAGAACCGCGTGAGCTTTTTACCCATCGACAGGGCCCGGTTTGACCCTTTCAATGCAACGGCTCTCTAATCGTTGAGAGGAAAACATGGATTTCTCGCGAGAGATTCCATTCCATACATCGTCGATTGTTAATACATCGCGTTACCGGTGTCGGATTATCCATTAGGCGCATTAGATATGCATTTTGCGTACAAACGGATTTTGTGTTGACTCGCATGACGTGAAAACTGATATAGGAGAGTGAAATTTGTGAGATAAAACTGTAACTAGTGAGCAAATTTACTGCTGCAGCTTATATTACTTTTTTCTCTGCGAACAGATTTTTAATACCTAAATAACATAATATATTTATGGATATATAAATCTGTTTTCTGTAATTTATAGCAATTAAACTTCTGCTTCCTTAAACTTTAAACTAACTCTGAAACTTTTAGAGTGAATCTCACTCCGAAGAGTGAAATCTCAAAGATTGAAAATTGAGCTACTCTTTTTCAAGACTGGCTCAATTTTCACTTCTTAGAGTGAGATTCTACTTCAAAGAATTTAGAATAGGTATCAAATTATTTAGATGTTATTTCTCTACAGATCAGCCAGGTATTACTATAAAGATATTTTTGCTTTAATAACCGATTATACTGGGATGTCTGATGCGATACGCATTGAATATCGCGTATCAAGCCATTGACCCTATAGTACAAAACCTACTTTATATGACGCATATATACCACGCGTTTGTTCAATGTATTACTTCTTTTTCAAGAGTATATAGTCCAGTATTAGGAATTTATAGTTACAGCTATTGTGCATCAGAAAAACTTTTACAAAGCAGCATTTTTTAAATCAAACTTAGTCTTTTATCATACGAGTAATCATCCGGATATAACTTTCAGTATTCGGTTATATTGAGACGAAAGTCTATCAGATCTTGTCTTGTTCCGCCAAGTGTTGAACTCTCTTCGTCGTTGTGATGAAATTACTGATTGCAAAGTGCAAGAAAACTGAGAACTCAAGGGGCTTAACAACGTTGCACTGTGTTTGTGAGATGATCTCGAGTTGATCGTTACACACATGATGACAGATTATAAGAGACTTTTGTGCGCTTGAATGTGAACGATATTATAGTCAATTTAGTCCTTTTAAGCACATAAAATCTTTCTAGATAATCGTTCAAATCTTTTCGATAAATTTCGACCGATCGATAAAGATTTGAAGTGTTTTATGAAACATTAGAAAAGCATATTATTAGAAATACTTGAAAGCGTTGATAAATTTTAAGAATTTTGTATGCCTTTTTGTGAATGTCTCAAAATTCTTCTTTCAGAAGTCATAGCTTAAATATCTAATGTTGTAAAATAAAATAAAATTGTTTGTTATAGAATAGAAAATAAATTAATATTTAAAATAAATTACAAATTATTATTTAAAGTTGTAAAAAATAGATTTCTAAAACACATTTTTTTTTTAAACAAAAAAGTTTAAATAATATTCCATATAGCTGACCGTATATTATATTTGAATAATTCGATTTTGCTAAAATTTTAATGTAAAACGTTAATGTTCAATAAGCTGGAAAATAATCGTTGCTATATTAATTTTTATTATTATACGTAAATAATGAAGATCTGTAAGAATTGCAACATAATTCTTATATATTTTTTTATTTTATATATTGTTTTAGTTATATTTATAAATTAAACAATGTGATTACATATAAATATCT